TAATTATACTATTATTGACATGACAAATGAACCACATGTCATGGACTGTGTTTCTGTTTTTAGAACTTTATCAACAACAAGAAAGGGAGGTAACAAATGTCAGATATATAAAAATTCATAAGAAGAGTTATCTTCTTAAAATTGAAAAAGAAAGAGGAAGTAAAATTATTATAAAAAGACCACCATTTCATAATTGATCAAAATGATGTTTCCTTGAAAGGTGTTGGAATCTACAGACCTCATTTTCTATAATTTACAACATATAAACAAAAGGTAATATTTTATTCCTACTTTAGGAGAAATGAAAAAAAAAAGAAACTTATAAGGTAATAACGAGTTTCATAAATAACTGAATTAATGAAAGAGGAAGAAAAAATAGTTGAGCTTTTAATATTCTTCAAGAATTGGATACTAATGAATATGATGATAAATACTTCAAAGATGTATCATAAAGTAAATGTGTTAAAAATACTTCGTTTTTGAAAATTGTATGTATCTGTCAGACTGAGTAAAGAAATCAAAATAAGGACTTTATTTATGTCTACTACACAAACTGCATGAACAATATGCAAGCTCTTGGCATAGTAAGTAACATGTTTTCAAATGTGTTTTTGTACATGAGTCTTTGTAAATGACCTCAGGCCGCGGCCAACTTTGGCCCCATGGGGCATTATTTACATAACTTTTGTAAAAGAACACAAGGCAATGATCTATGCTTTTGCCATTGCAGATTCTGAGGAGAATAATTACAAAGATTTCATTTCTAAAATCGTTTTTGAGCTTCTGTGACTTTACTATGTATCAGATTTGAACCACTGATATTAGTTTTATAAAGTTCATTCAAGTAAAGTTTGATAAAAATAGACCATGACTGTGGTTTAGGACATGTTGTAATAGTGGATAACGAGTTTAAAAACGACGACAGACAAAAAACCATTCCGTGTTCACATCTGAGCACTCGGAGCTTAACAAGAAATGCCTTCAATCAGGTTTCCAGCCCATTAACTATATTAACAGGAATTACTTTGATAAACAATCTAACGAATTTCAAAGTATTATAGAATATAATGAGAACTGATGCTTTCATTTTCTCTTGTCTTTGACCCATGTAACCCACAATGATTTTAAAATTATCATTTTATAAGCTCCGGAACTAAATTTCTATCTAGCATCGACTTCCGAGATTATTCTACAGTAATTTGACCATAATTGACCCATTTCTATGACGTTACCTATGTTTATTGGCGTCCGCGCCGAAGCGCGACGCATCGGATTTTGTGAAAGGGCAATTACAACTTCTCGAGCCTTTTCGTCGGCCATAATAGCCGAACATTCCGACTGGTATGAGTGTTTGATAATCAAAAATGAAATGTCGCGAGATGTAAAATAAATAGCTTGATAATTTCGCAATGTATACATATTCAAATGAAATGATCTTATCCGTCAATTAATCGCGCTCTTCGGTATTTTTATTAATCATTTTGTAGTATACAGTGGGTTATTATGTGTGTTATTGCTTTACCTATAAATAGAATGATGACCTGTGTTGTGTAATATGAACGTTGTGAAAGTCCGAAAATCTATTTATATAAGTAGTTTTAGTTTCACCGTAGGGAACGTGTTACAGTATCGCGTTTTTCGGTTACAGTATATAATTTTCAAGATGGAGGATTATTTATGCGAAGAGATGTAGGTGATTTTTATTCAGGTCCATACTACTAGTAGTTTAGTTTCTTAAAGATGTTTTTGTGCTTTGCTTGTAAGGAACAGAATCCGGTATCTAGTCATATATTTCTTCAGACTCTGCACCGCAGATTTATCGTTATATTGTCTCATAAATGTGCAGATTTGAAGGTTTAAAAATTTGAATCGAGAGACCAACGCATTTTTTTCCCATTCCGACATTATTTAAGCATGCCTAGATAAAGTAAATCTACAAAACGTTAGTCCTTTGTGTTTAGAAACGTTTATAAAAGTAAATGACCAGTTGAACCTATTTTCCTGTTGGTAAAATGCGTTTGAAAAAATAAACAATGTTACAGTATAGAGCGAGGTTAATTTTGAAGGGTTACAGCATAGACCTAGCGACTTTGATCCAATTTTGTTACAGTTTATACCCAGATTTCGGTTACAGTTTAGATACTTAAATTTTAAATTTTATTTTAAGTTGGAATTTCCATCTACCATAATGTATTTTGTAAGTATTTAAAAGGGTTTGTTACGTTTGGCTTTCTTGGATTTTAAGTTTCAACGACACTGAGGTCATGTGAAAACATTCCTGCTTTAGTGTAAAGAAAGACCCCAGATACCCTTTGTGAAACATTTCAGACACGAGCGGGCACCTGACTAGAACCACCGACCTTCCGTAAATTAGCCTATAAAATAACCTCGCTACAATGCACAACATTGTTGTTTGTTTATTGTAAGTTAGAGTAAGGCTATTATTTTCTTTTTCAGAAACATGAAAACTGCCATACAGAATAAGAAAAAAACGAGTTTTAATTTAATAATAACAAGATAATCGTAAATTCAACAAAGAAGCATTCGAAATGACGCCATTATCATGATTGATTTGATTTGAATGCTTTTGGTTTGAGACGAGAAGGGTCTTTAAACATTGCCTTTTTTCAAAATCTATGTTTTGGGTTTTCGTATCCCCGATTGCAACCGAAACCATTTGAACAACTAATTGGTAGAAAGTCATGTAAATTTCATCACATTTAGTCAAGTAGTTACTGAGCGGATGAGATTGAACACACATGTGTACGACAGACGGACGAATAGCCATCGGGCCAATAAAAGTCTATCTAACATTCTTACATTTTACCTAGTATATATAGAAAATATCGAAGTCTAAACTGTAACCGACATCTGAGAATAAACTGTAACAAAATCGGATAAAAATTGCAAGGTCTATGCTGTAACCTTGCACAAATCACTGTTTATTTTTTCAAACGCATTTAACGAACAGGAAAAAAGGTTCAACTGGTCATTTACTTTTATAAACATTTCCTAACATGAAGTACAAACGTTTTGCAGATTTACTTTTCTAGGCTTGCATCAATAATGTCGAAATTGGAGAAAAATGCGTTGGTATCTCGATTCAAATTTTAAAACTGTCAAATCTGCATATTTATGAGACAATATAACGATAAATCTGCGGTGCAGAGTCTGAAGAAATATATGACTAGATACTGGATTCTGTTCCTTACAAGCAACGCACAAAAACATCTTTTAGAAACTAAACTACTTGTAGTATGGACCGGAATAAAAATCACCTACCTGTCCTCCCAACAAATAATCCTCCATCTTGACAATTCTATACTGTAACCGAAAAACGCGATACTGTAACACGTTCCCTACGGTGAGTTTACCGATACGGTCATTCGTGTAGCAATGAACTGGAGAATTTTGCAGGAAATGAAATGCAAACATTAAAACAATTAATTGCAATCTTTAAGTAGGCAATCTTTACGAATTGTTTTATCATAGTATTATCATTCTTCGTCCACAATTTTAACATGAGTTGTTATGGGTTTATTTATAGGCATGTAAACACACTGATGGGTCAGACTAGGTCATTTAAATAGTAGATTGACCTCCGACATAAATCAATTTACAGACTTTGTTCATTTTGATTATTATGTTGTATGTTCCAAAGAAAATACCACATAAACTTGAAATATCTATCAAATAACCAATGTTTATGATAAAACATATATAGTATTAATAAATTTATGCCATATAGGGGTACATTTTGGATATTATAGACCTGTATATTTTGGATTTTATCGTTAACAGTGATAGAATTAAAGTTCCTGTGGAAAAAAATTAATATTCAAATCTCTAGCATGCATACCAAAGTTCGTGATGAATAATGTCTTTCGTCCGCCCATTCATAAATGATATACAATACTTGTTAAAACCAGTTAACCATTGAAAATTCTATAAGAATATCAGGTCATCAGATATTTACTAGTTAATCTTCACTTGCTGCATTTCTTGCTTGGACGCCCTTTGATGCTTTGCATCAATGCTTTTCTTGTCTTTCTATGGAATGTAGTTGAATATTAAGAATTGAGAAAACGAAGGGAGATAACAAATGTCAGATATATAAACATTCATCAAAAAGTTATCTCATTAGTACTAAAAGAGAAAGAAGGAGTAATAGTACTTAAGACATGTAAGAAAACCCCAATATTTCAGATTAACAAATAAAAAATGAATAAAAGAAATGTTTCACCGTAATCTACTAAACCTTGATACCTATAACATACTACATATAGACACAAAAGGTAACTTTAAATACTAATAATGTGTGTATAATGTTAACAGTATAAAAAATAAATAGTACATGTAATAGAAAGAGCACCGAAACACGAGGCTATCTGATTTGTACGAGGGGGCGTAGCCCCCGAGTATTAATCAGATTGCCGAGTGTTTTGGTGTTCTTCCTCTTTTGTATCATAGTCAAACATAAAAACACGTTCCCTGTTGTCACAATATGAAACCCCGGCAAAAATGAACCAATGAACGAACATCTGAATATGACATTTCTGTCGCTTTCCCTTTCTCTGCCGTCACAATATGTAAACCCCAGCAAAAATGAGCCAATCAATGGGCATGCTCTGGAGTGCGGGTAACTAATACCCGCACTCCAGTTAACGCACTGTGCATGTATATGTATACGATTTAACCCTGACACATTTTCAACAGAAAGGTCTCCAAACTATGATACAAGTATATAATAGATCAATGATGAGTTTCATTCCATAAAGAGTTGACTTACTGCTTAAAGAATCATCAACTAAAACCACATCCATAAATAAAACAAGAATTTATAATTGATGAAAAATACTTCTAAACTATTGAACACTGGAAAGGGGGTATAAAAAACCAAAATTGTTTTAAATACATTATAATTAACAATTATCATCTGACCAAATAAAATCAATAAAAATAATTTAATAAATTGATATGTTAGAAATTATATTTACAGAATGTTTCAAGAGCCACATTACACCCAGACTCTCTCAATGAGAGTATCTGAAGTACTAGCAGATATAGGTGTTGATGAGAGAATAGTGCTGAAGAGGAGAAGAACCTGGCTTCTGAGAGAATCAATGGCCAATGTGAATAACCAATTATGGAATGACAATTCTTATATAGTATACTATTTTGGAAGTCAATCAGAAGGCACAACTACCATGGGGATGAGGTCAGATACAGATGAACTTTATTGTATAAATATTTTTCCTGTAATACAAGACTGGTCTGAATGGATACACGGTGAACCTAATTATTTGATGATTCAAGATAATTCTGTATCTCCTGGATATTGTTTACTTCAATTGCTAAGACCAGATGCTCCTCTTCCTGCTGATAGAGAATCTAATCAATACTTCTTCAGAGACAGAACAGGAAAAGTACTGCTAAAACAATTTATATTCCCTGATGAATATTTCCACAAATTTTCATTACATGGACCAGCAAGAGTAGAACAAGGATCACATGGTTACTGTGATAGAGACATTGTGATAGCTTTGCACTGTAAAACATGGCCACAACAAGCTAGACAATGGTTGGATCAACAAGGTGAAGGTCAGTGGCCGTCTGCTGAAATGAAACAATATTGCAGCAGAACTGGATGCTTTGTTGTTCCTGTTGGATGTAGAGGGAGTGAACATGAGCAACTTGAATGGAGAATATCAACATCTTTAGCTGAAAGGTGTTTAATGTTAAACCTGAATATTACACAGATTCGCTGTTATGTCTTGATGAAAATGGTTATAAAATCATTTATTGATCCACAGTTTGAAGATGTGATTTCCAGTTACATGTGTAAAACTGTACTCTTCCATTGTATTGCCAATTCACATTTTAACATCTGGAGAGAAAACAATTTACTTTCTTGTCTATTACTGTGTTTATATAACCTGCATTACAGTATCATTAATGAAAACTGTCCACATTTTATCATACCTAAGAACAATTTGATGAGGGGTAAAATAACATCTGTAGAAAAAACAAATATCCTGGATATACTCAACAACATTATCAACAGTGCAGGAGTGGCACTACTTTGTATCAAATGTGATGGTCTTGGTTTCAGGCTTCATTTCAAGTTTTATAACTTAAGTCTAGTCAAAGCAAGTAAATACATTTCAGGACATCTATTATATGACATTGCTATATCGTGTTCAGGGGCGTCATTGATAAGTAGTTATTCTCTTAAGAACAAAAGACCTAATGAAGCTGTACAAAAATTGACAACCTGTTTATCTAAGATATCCAATATTCAATATGACGGACTGTATAAAACAGCGTGTCAACTTCTGGCACCAAGGTATTGTACAACACTTGGATCTGTGCTGGCCTCCATCAACATAGATCAGCACAACATTGTTTCAGCTAATGCTTTTGAACTCATCTTACTTGGTTGGTTTACAGATGCTGCATCAAGTAAACTGAAATTAGCTTCAATCTTATTTTGTGCAAAAGAAATACAAAAAGCTGACCTAGCTCTCAGTATCATTGAAAAATACTATGATCTGCAAGTTGTTGAACCAGTCTGTGGTTGTTATGACTTTGAAACAGAAGCACTAAAACAAGAATTCTTTGCAACATGTGACAGTCGTAATGTAGATACCATACATGATGACATGGTATCATGTGTCACATTTCTGCCATGTGAAATTCACTGTGTACCAACTGAACTCAGATATGAAATGATAAGATCTTCACCGGGGGACAGAATATTCCTTACACAAGAAGACGACTGGATGGATAATGCTGTGGTGGATTCTCTCCCTTACCTCTACTTTCTACAATACAAGGTTTACAGCCATCTTGGTAGAAATAATGAAAAACAATCTGCTCTCTCAAAACTTCACAGAACCATAATAACCGAGCCAAACCTTGGACACCGTGAAACAGCTTTTAATATTCTCGGAAAATGTATGGAACAAGAAGGTAGAGTAAAGGATGCTCTACAGTGTTATTTGAAATCGTTTAATTTAAGGAGGAGAAACAATGCTGCAAAGATACATATTTGTACACTTGTATGTATATTGGTAAACACACAGGCATCAAATATACATCACAAAGATGGAAATAACATAAATATTAATTATGATAGAAGAGTGGCATATGAATTGAAAGAAGTCCTGCTAAACAGCATATTATATTTATGTAAATTAATTCTTTGTTTAACTTTTTTTAAATTTGTAAAATATTTATATGATATCTACAATACCTGAAAAGTGTAAATTACTGCAGACATTTAGCTTTATTGTTGCTATAGTTTAACATGTATATCATGTTTTAATTCTTAATACAGTACAGGATATTAAATGAATGTAAGTTCAATACTGAATATATTGCACGAGTTGAATAAAATTATGCGAGCATTATATTATTTTATTCAACGAGTGCAATAAGTTCAGTATTAAATTTACACGAATTTAATATTCTATTTATCACATACCGAAAATAAAGACCATTTGAAATGAAAAACAGTCATTTTTCATAGACCCGCCTATATTACAACGCTAACATTAAGCGTGTCGTTTGTATAATGCGAATGACGTCGCGTAAAATATGTGAACGGCCGTGCATACCATTTTTACAGAGCCGTTAATACGGCACGGGTATGTGATAAAGAGACTTTTAAACTGAATTTGTTTAAGTGATAAAATAGGAGGCTGTGCCAGGTGAAAATATTAAAGATCCCATTTAAGTATATTTGTACCTTTTGTTACCTACAATATGTCAGACTGGGAACACGTTTTCATGATATTTGTAGAGGGCCATTAGGGACCATTCCTGTGAAATGTGTTAAATGAACTTCTGGATAATGACAATTGACAGACAACCAGTCACTCCATCTTTTTATTCGCGTAAACACACAATCCAATCAAGGACCTAGTGTCTGAAAAAGATACATTGTTATTATTTTCATGATGTTATATTACCTCCAAAGAGAAGGCATAGTAACCCTTAGTGCATGTTTCACAAAACTTTAATAGAAGTCTACTAGCCAATGATATATGCCAAATATAGAGGCTAACGGTAATTTAAGCAAGTGACTCCCAGGCAGAGCTATTTCTTACCTAAAGTTATATTTGATATAACAATGATCCTTATGTAGCAATACCTTGTGACCGTGACATGATTTTATTTGGTATCATTTCAGAGACAAAAACTTACTCGTTTCTAACATGAAACAAGAGGGCCATGGTGGCCCTGAAGTCGCACACCTGTATATAGGCCCCGAGAGTGGGTCCAGTTTAAACCCCAGGGCTTTTATTTGAACAAACTTGGTAGACTAAAATGTTTCATCTTAAACATCTAAGGTCTAGCTCGTTGAGTTTTTAAAAAAATGATTTTTTAAGTTTTAACTATACACATATAGTTCAAAGCAATGACACCCCTAGGGCGGGGCCAGTTTTGCCCCCAAGGCTTTTTTTAAACAAAATTTAAAGACACTCACTAGAAAATGTTTCATGCTTAATATCTAAACTGTAGCTATTTAGTTTTTATCAAAGAAGATTTTTAAGTTTTTGCTATACACATATAAGGAAAATCAATGTCCCCCGGGGCAGGGCCAATTTTGACCCTAGGGCTTTTATTTGAACAAACTTTGAAGACACTAACTGGTTGATGTTTCATGCTTAATATCTAAACTTTAGCTATTTGGGTTTTTTCAAAGAAGATTTTTTATTTTTTTGCTATATACATAAATAAAATCAATGACCCCCGGGGCAGGGCCAATTTTGACCCCAGGGCTCTTATTTGACCAAATTTGGTAGACACCCATTAGAACATGTTTCATGCTAAATATCTTAGCTCTAGCTCTTTGGGTTCTTTAAAAGAAGATTTTACTATATGCATATAGGGAAAATCAATGACCCCCTGGAGCAGGGCCAATTTTGACCCCAGGGCTTGTATTTGAACAAACTTGATAGACACGCATTAGAAGATGTTTCATGCTAAATATCTTAGTTCTAGCTCTTTTGGGTTCTTTAAAAGAAAATTTAATAAGTTTTTACTATATGCATGTGGGGAAAAACAATGACCCCCGGGGCGGGCCAATTTCGACCCCAGGGCTTTTATTTGAACAAACTTGGTAGACACCCATTAGCTCTTTGGGTTCTTTAAAAGAAGATATTTTAAGTTTTTTCTATCGGTTGCCATGGAAACCAGAGTTCTGCATGGAATTAAATTCTTTGAACAATTTTTAAAGGTGACCACCAAAGGAACATTCCTGTGAAGTTTGGATGAAATTGGCTTAGTGGTTTATGAGGATATGTCATTTAAAGTAAAAGTTTACGGACGACGGACGGACGGATGCCGGACGAAAAGCGATCACAAAAGCTCACCCTGTCACTTTGTGACAGATGAGCTAAAATAGCCGTTAGTAATTTTGCACTAATTACTTTGAGATATGGTCCAGTCTACGACAGAAAATATAAACTTGCCACGGAATATGGATCTCTTTTATTATATGAGCCGTTTTATCAAACAATTTGTATTCCTTCACTGATTAAGGCACATCTACACACAAATTTTGAAGTTTCAAAGTCAGTGCACTTTGTTTTAAGGACTAGTTTGCTATTACAGCTCTCAGAAACCTCGACCTTTGACCTAATGTATACAAAATTCGCCTTTTCCTCCACTTCATTTGTTACCATTTAGCTCATAAGGGAGTGATTAAGAACAATTTCGTCATGTGTTGAAAAAATAAACTGCAACAAAACTTAACTAGAACTTCCACTGTCATGGCGTGAATACCCCCGCATACCACTTTGTCAGAATCAACAGTGGCCATTTTGAACTCAAGGGCAACCATCCTGCCAAATTTGAGGTTACTAAGCCAGTGCATTGCTAAGATATGTATTATCCATGCTTCAAATGTGGAAATTTTAAAATCAAGTATTTTTAGTCAAGGCCCCTGTGACCTTGACCTTTGACCCAGTGACCTCAAAATCAATAGGGGTCATTTACTAATCATGACTAACCTCAATGCCAAATATGAAGACGGTGGGTCAAAGAAATCTCAAGTTATTGGGCAGACAAGCTTTTTTTAAATCAAGGTCCCTGTGACCTTGACCTTTGACCCAGTCACCTCAAAATCAATAGGGGTCATGACCTTGACCTTTGACCCAGTGACCTCAAAATCAATAGGGGTCATCCACTAATCATGACTAACCTCCATGCCAAATATGAGTACTGTAGGCCAAAGGAATCTCAAGTGATTTGGCGGACAAGCTTTTTTGTTAGTCAAGGCCCCTGTGACCTTGAACTTTGACCCAGTATCCTCAAAATCAATACGGTTCATCTACTAATCATGACTAACATGCATGCCAAATATGAAGACTGTGGGTCAAAGGAATCTCAAGTTATTGGGCGGACAAGTTATTTTTAGTCAAGGCCCCTGTGACCTTGACCTTTGACCCGGTTACCTCAAAATCAATATGGGTCATCTACTTATCATGACTAACCTCCATGCCAAATATGAAGACAGTGGTCCAAAGGAATCTCAAGTTATTGGGTGGACAAGCTTTTTAAAGTCAAGGCCCCTGTGACCTTGACCTTTAACCCATTGACACCAAAATCAACAGGGGTCATCTACTAATCATGACAAACCTCCATGCCATATATGAAGACTGTGGGTCAAAGGAACCTCAAGTTATTGGACGGACAATGATTTTTAGACAAGGCCCCTGTGACCTTGACCTTTGACGCATTGATCTTAAAATCAATAGAGGTCATCTACTAATCATGACTAATCTCCATGCCAAATATGAAAACTGTGGGTCAAAGGAATCTCAAGTTATTAGGCGGACAAGCTTTTTAAAGTCAAAGCCCCTGTGACCTTGACCTTTAACCCAGTGACCCCCACAATCAATAGGGTCATCTTCTAATAATGACTAACCTCCATGCCAAATATGTAGACTGTGGGCCAAAGTAATCTCAAGTTATTGGGCGGACAAGGAATAACCGACGGACGGGGAGACGTCCGGACGTCCGCTAGGCCGGACGGACAAGCTGATTCCAGTATAACCCCCTTACAACTTCGTTGTGCGGGGGTTTAATTTTACATGATATATTTCTCTCATAAAACATTGTGTAAAACAGAACATTAACTTACAAAGAGAAATGATAAAATATAACAAATCACAAAGATACCTTAACAACGTCATGTTTTATGACACAAATTTAATTTAACAAATGAATCAACATCATTATTGATTATATAAAACCAAATTTAATTATCATAAACTTTGAAACATTATTTTTCTAGATTTCTTCAAAAAGCAACTTTCCATAATTCACATTGTAAGTTTGAATATAAAAATATTAACTCCAGTTTCAATTCAAAAATGTGTTTTGTTTTATTTGAAAAATATACAATGATTCGTATTGACATATTTCTTTTGATATAAAACCTTTTCAAGCATCAGAAGATACATCAAGGTAAGCCAAAATATTTTAAAAAACAAATAAAACAATTGAAGATTCAAGCTATATTTTACTTCTTATGTGGAATTAATGACTAATTTGTCAGTATTTATTACTACTTTATTGTGTTATAAACGCAGTTTGGACTATTTTTGCATATTTGAGCCTCCTTTTGTTAATTAAAGACGTTTCCGGGAGTAGTCACTGCGCACATAAACCGCGCATGTTGTTTTCCGTTACTTGTTATTTATTTTGTTTTTTTGCGTTGGGTTTAATCAAAGTTGAGTAGTCTTCGGATAAAAAACACAATTACAGCTAAAGTGTCAAAATCAAATATAAATCGCCGTTTAAGATGTATTTGCAAAAGAGGAGTAAGCCAGGTTCCTTTATTTCAAAGAAACGATCAGAAAGTATCGGAAATATCAAGTTTTTTGTCAAGTCGCATGTAATCGGAGAGTGAAAATGACTGCGTAACAGATTGAAGTCAACGCTGATTCGGACGAATCATTTCAGTGTTCTGTTGACAACAATGTGGATGAAATGGGTGTTTATAATATATAGACTGTATATGCGGTGTTTCTAATTCTGTCGAGACGAGTAAACGTCACCGTGTAAACAAAAAGGACCAAAAATCTTCGACATTAAATCCAAACGAAATATACAAAAAAGTATATTACTGAAAGGAATTTCAGCAGAATTTTCAAACATAAGTTGAAGTGTAAATTATAATTAAAAATTTTGACTCGCTATTTTCTACCAAAACATTTGTGACATCATGATTTGTTGATATTATGTGGCATTTGACTATTTAAAAAAGCATAAAAGCATGTAATGAATAGAAAAAATTGCTTTATATTTCATATTGTTTTTTCTCTCATGAATACAAGTTGTGA